TTATAACAAAATATTTTTGACAGCCCAAGCCAAAGGCAACATCAGACGCAACTCCTTCGGCAACTACAGCAACCCCTGCATCACAGGTATGAAAGAAAATACAATACTGCCAATAAAGACCACAAATAAAGTTGAATCAGGAATTGATTAATTTGTTTGTAGCTAGATGTCAACAAGTGCAATTACTAAATAAAGAGAGTACATAGTCTAGTGGTAATAGTAAATTATGTTTAACAATTAGTGCTGCAGATTTTCAAAACATCCTGTTTTGGATTTGAAGGTCCCTCAAATTCCGTTAGGCTTTTTTGAATTAAGACCGATCTTCATCACAATATATTTCATTCATTAAATATGTAATGTTTCAAATAATTGGTTAAAAGTAAAAATCCTTCTATTGTGCTTGTGGAATCTACTATTTCAATATTAGTAGAACATGCATATATCTTTAATCAAGCCAAGTTTTGATAGGATGCTTATTATTATGTAAAAGGTACTTTGAGATTTGCAAGACAATGTAATTCTTTTTGTGTCAAGCATACCTCTTTTTATTTGGGAAATTTTTTTATGTCTGCCAAGCTCAAATTACAATTAAATTTAAATCAGTATATTTTGTTTGAATTTTTTGACTCAGTCTGTGCTAATTCTATTGCATATTATCCTGTTGACGATTGATGTGTTATGTCAGTTGAATCTTTAGGAATGTCTTGACTATGCTTTTTATGTTATATTTGGTGTATTTCTGCTGTGATCCAGATAATTTTATGATAAATGTTTATTTTTATTTGCAAAGAGTTCAGCTGCTGCTACTCCTGCACAACCAACAAGCGAATCAAAAACTGATGACAAAAAGGAGGAGGAAAAAGCTAAATCTGCAGAACCTATTACTGTCTCATCCACAGAAACAACAACTACTCAGGCTAGGTAAAATCAAATCAGATTTCACTAAGTTACTTGTACCAGTTCTTTTGTCATAAGTATGGGGGGGGACAATGAATTTTAATCTGCTGTTACATTTAAGGGCTTCAAGATTCCTTTATTGTTGGTGGTATTAATTGTGGTTTTTTTAAATACAATCCTAAACAGACAATTTTGATATTTTAGTTTGAAGATATTTTAGTAAGGGCAATTTTGATATTATATATATTTTAGTAAGGGCTTCAAGATTCCTTCATTGTTCGTGGTATTGTGGATTTTTTTTAAATACAATCCTAAACAGACAATTTTGATATTTTAGTTTCAAGATATTTTAGTAAGGGCAATTTTGATATTATATATATTTTAGTAACGGCTTCAAGATTCCTTCATTGTTCGTGGTATTGTGGATTTTTTTTAAATACAATCCTAAACAGACAATTTTGATATTTTAGTTTCAAGATATTTTAGTAAGGGCAATTTTGATATTATATATATTTTAGTAACGGCTTCAAGATTCCTTCATTGTTCGTGGTATTGTGGATTTTTTTTAAATACAATCCTAAACAGACAATATTGATATTTTAGTTTGAAGATATTTTAGTAAGGGCAATTTTGATATTATATATATTTTAGTAAGGGCTTCAAGATTCCTTCATTGTTCGTGGTATTGTGGATTTTTTTAAATACAATCCTTAACAGACAATTTTGATATGTTGCAACCTTCCTCCCTGTTCAATTAAGTTATCTCTGCTATTAAAATAAGTGCACCAGCGGGCATGCTCACTGTATTTGCCTGCTACAAGGCATGTAATTAAGTGTTTATTCAACAGATGTGTCTATAATTAAACATGATGTGAATTTTAAAAGATGTTCATTAATAAAATATTTTTTCCGGAAATAGACCTGCCTTTCTGCGATCATTATCCGATAGTGATGCGAAACGAATGAACTAATCTTGTTAATTCCCTGATTAGCTCCACAACATCAACAACCACAACGGATAGTACACCCCAGAGTTCATTATTAAGTGCTGAATCAGCTCTCGGTGAGAACAATTTCTTTTCTATGTTTTTATATAGAGTTTTCATGTCTTCTGTATACAAAATAGATGCTGCCTTATTGAACTGCTTAAACTGTTCATTGTAAGCTCTCATAAACTGATTCTTCATCCGATTTATTGTTGCAGAAACACAAATTTTGACGTGCAGTACCAATACAAATATAATCACTTCGGTTGATATTCCATTTTGTTCCCATCCAGCCAGTCATATGCAGATAATGGTAGCTGGAAAGCCAAGAATATTTTTTGATTTTTGCAGATCATTGCATTATTAGCTCTAAAGTTTGCCATCTTGTCTTGCAGTTGTTGGTGAAGACTACGAGAAAATGGTCCTCGAGATGATGTCCATGGGCTTTGAAAGAGATAAGGTCGTAAGAGCCTTGCGTGCGAGCTTCAACAACCCAGACAGAGCTGTTGAATACCTAATGACGGTTTGTTGCGCTACTGAGTGGCTAATTAAATTTACTTTATTTTACAGAGAGCAAAGACTAGCTCGCAGCAGAAGTTGGAAATTTATTTGGACGAATTTTTTCGTTTAGGCCAATGTAATCAGTTGTTGAATATTAAATTCCATCCAAAGTATTCTATACTGGAGAAGATGTGAGCTTGTGACACGACCAGGGCTGAAGTTAAACCCATGCCATTCATACACTTTGCTCCCCTCCCCTTTAGCAAGTACGCAGTGGAGCCATCGCAGCATCCAGCGCAATGACGAAAGACTTTCCGCACCACGGGCCATCGCAGCTACAATAACTGGAGAAGTTGGTAGAGCAACAACATACGGTGTGGTCGTGGGTTTCAATCCTGCCCTGGTTGTGTCATATTTTCTCTCAATATATTTTCTCAATTTCTACTCATCTCTCCAATTCTCCATGCCAAAACGGGCCTTTTGTAGGAATTTAACCAAAATGCGTGGAAGCTTAATACCTAAGTTACAATTTCTTTTCTGTTGAAGGGATCGATTCCTGACGTCCAGGTAGAAACTCAAGAGGCAGCGGATTCAACCGGTAGAACAGAAGATGATGGTATGACTCTTCTTCTTCTCAAACAGAACTCAGTTTCTCATCATACATCGTATTCCCCTTTTATGAGTGTTAACCGATCATAACATTACCTATGCACTTGAAAGCCTCTTCTTTTGACATTCGAAAGATTTTCAAATTTGGTCCAGTGCTTGGTTAGAACTGTCTGTTGTGGCTAATAAGCTGTTATTTATATTGAAAGCAAAACTTTTGTTAATTTTGCTACTAAATGGTATGCAGTGATGCTAAAACCTTTATAACAGAATGATGTTTGATACATCAAAGAACAGAGAATATATTTCAACAGAACTCTTTCTGTCTGTGCTAAAAAATAATTCAGTTTTGTCTAGGCAAAGTAATGATCGTCTCTAACCAGCACTTTTCAATGACGTGAATGCTTAGGTGTCCTTGACTGGTAGCAACAAGGGCCCTGTCAACTGCACGATTCTTCCTTACAAGTTATATTTTTTTCATCTCACAGTTATATGTATGTTTCCGTTCTTCCTGGTATTTATTCTACGTGACACATTTTGCTGGCAGTTGGATGAAATCATAATAGTAAGACACACAGAGTTTTGGCTCGTTGTATTCGCCAAAAATAAGCTTGCAACTGAAATTAAGCATTTATTTTGGAGAAAGCGAAATAGTATGGCCGAAGGACTCTAAAGTCAGATTGTGGATCCCTCTACCACAATGCTACAGGAATGTTTTGAAAAAGTCATCTTTTACCGCAGAATTATTTTGTCTCATTCACAGCTAAAGATATCGTCAGTATAATTTGAAAGTTCTTATCCGGTTTGTTTTAAAGCCAACCTGTACAGAAATTGTTTCAGCGTCCCTAAATCTTTGTTTTCCTTGAAATGCTATTTTTTAGCTTCAATGGTATCCGAGGCTGAATCAACAGGGGATCCATTGACCTTCTTACAACAGCAACCACAATTCTTGGCTCTGCGTCGCGCAGTGCAATCAAATCCGGCCGTGTTGCCGCAGCTTCTTCAAGAACTTGGACAAGCAAACCCAGAACTGCTTCAGGTATGTACCTTTATATTGCAGCTAAGCATAACTTCCCTAATAACAGTGTAAAGGTGGGTAGCAATCCGAATGGCAAGAAGTGCTTGTTGATAAAACTTAATAAATGGGCTTGCTAATATATTCTTGCAAATGTATTGAGAAAAAACACTTAAACAAATTTCAGTGCCAGATAAGTTAAGAAGATAGCTGAATGAACATTAGCTGTAAAAATAGTTTTTTAAATTCAATATTTACCGAAGAATTTTGTTTTTTCACTTGTTTGTATGTTGTTGAGTTCTCTTATAATGAATTGTCTCTCCCCCCCCCCTCCTAAAAACAAACATTAAACAATATTGTCGGAAGAATCCATTTATTTTTTAAGACAAATAGATTTATTTTATAATTTATTGCCTTCAAAAGTATTTCAAAATATTGTATAAATAATCTCTAAAAATTGCATTGCTTAGTAATTGAGTAAGCTTCAAGAAAATGTTTAGCTTACTTCTTTTTCTTTATTTGTACTTTTAATGTACCACAATTATAAACACTAAGTTTATTGCTTGTCTGACCGATAATAAGAAACATTCATTGTCAAATTCATTACAAAGAAAAGATTATATTTTCTTACTTGTGCTCTTTTGTTGGTATGTTGATTTTAGATAACATTTTTCAGCAAACGCGTGAAAGTTTTTCGGAGCCTAGTTCCTAGGATTTGATGTTTTTGCAGCTCTGGGACAAACCATCTGTCATTTGTTTATTTATTGAAACAACACCTACTGATTTTAATGAAACTTTTTTTGCAGCTCATCAGTCAAAATCAAGAGAGGTTTATTGGCATGTTGAACGAGCCTGTTACTGGGGAAGAGGCTGTAACCGAAGGAATTGAAGTCGCTGGCCAACCAGAGGGTGGCCCACAAGTGCAGACTGGTTCTGGTGTCAATTATATTAGTGTCACGCCACAAGAGAAGGAAGCAATTGAAAGGGTGAGCCATTGATAGATTGCTTTTATATGTATACCGTGTAAGTGAGGGTTCGGCGCTATCTTGTGAGCGAGGGTTGGACACTATAAAGGGTGCAGCCATGGAAATTGTGCAGCCCTGAATAGAGAACTGTGCTTACTGAAAATTGAGTCAAAGAAAACAAAATTGTTTTTGAAGGAACTCAATTTTTTCGAGGGAAGTGTCTTGCTTATCCTCGTCGATTAGTTTTTTTCGTTCTAAGATTCCTTGATAACTGACTCCGTAATTTTGTCAGGATTAGCAGATATTTCCTATCCATAACATGAATCCAAGGAAAAAATTTATCAAAAGATAATGGCTTCTGTTGAATGAAGTAATCTCTTTCGTACTCTCGAGTAATGAAATTGTTCAAAGATGCAGCGCTGGTTATAGGGTAGTGCCAATTTTTTATATTTGTTAGTGGGGTGTCACTAATAATAGGGAGATACTAGTTGGAATAATAATTAATAAATAATACGTAATCTATTTACTGTTAGCAAGTAGATTTTGCTTTTTATCGAGCTTTGAAGAGCCAACTATTTACAATATATTTAAGATGTAATTAATAATTAAGGTTGATACATAGTCTACATCTCCAATCAAATTTATCTAACGATTTTATGTTGCGATGTCCAGTGACTGAGGCTCTCTCGTTTCTGTCCTTAACCATACAATATATCTTTCTCTGTATTCGCATGAATAATATGTGGATCAGCTATGCAAACTGAAATTGAAAATTGTTTAGTGTGTAAATTGGAAACAGCCAAAATTTTTAACACATTTGCCAGTGTAATAAAGACTGTTAAGTTGCAATGAAAATTGATTAGTTTTGCCTGCCAACTTTATTTGAAAGAAATTGACTCAGTTTAAAGGCAGGTGATCTTCAGAAAAAAGTCGACCGTGAAGGGTAACGGCAGCAGTTTTTTCACCATGCTGGAAGATTCAAGGCTAGCTGTATTGTTACCAGTACTGTTTTCTTTCATGCACTTTGATAAACTCTCTCGGTTTTTTGCAGTTAAAAGCCCTTGGTTTTCCAGAGCATCTGGTCATACAGGCATATTTTGCTTGTGAGAAAAACGAAAATCTTGCGGCAAATTTCCTTCTCGCTCAAGGATTTGATGATTAAAGGCCAAAACTGCAGGTTTTGTCACGAAATAATATACCAAAGACTGTTCTTGCATATGACATGACTGTGAAGAACTATGGGTCTAACTTTCCACAGTAATCATAACGAATGAGTGTAGGCCAGTGGGACGTGGCTTTCTTTGTACCGCTATTTAACTTGATAATTTTATACATTTCGAATGAACTATTTGTTGAGTCAGAAGGGACTTGACGAAACCTCGGTTCAAACAGCTAAACCCGAATCGAAGCCCTTTGTAAGCCGAAGAATACGTGCAGAATATGATAATACTTCTGCCCCTAATATGTTGATCTATATCTACCTTTACAATATTCAAACTTGCTGACAGCATTCTAACTTGCTGGCCATGTTTAAGCGAAACATTGATAGCTATTCATGACAAAAAGAATGATGCTGATTACAATAAACTTTTTCGATAGAAGAACAAGCTTATTTCGTTGTAGGCTGCAAATTGTTTTATAAAGTAAATACTTGTGTTTCTTCTTTTTCTTTCCTACCAGATTGTCATTCGCGTATTACAATGAATTCCGCACGTAAATGCTCTTTGTTTTTATACTGTATACTACTTTGAAACAATGTGGGCCTTAAAACAAAACATACTCCTTGGTATTGCTCTTTCATTCTCCTAATGCTTATACCTATCAGGGTCAAAGCAAAATAAGATATATGACAATAATAAGTATGGTCCAATTAAAGCAAATGTAATCCAACCAAAAAAGCAAAATTTTGTATTACAAAAAAGATTTCAATACATAAAATTTTTGCAAGGGCGACTCTTTCCGGTCTCTACTGCAATAAAAATGTTCCTGAGACAAAAGAGAAAGTTCATCGATTTTGACGATAAAAGTAAGGCTATAGGCTTTGCAAAATATCAAATTTTCCGTGAAAAATTTTTATGCCCAAAAATTGCGTAGGGTAACTCATCTTGGACTCTTTAATCACATTATCAAATGTGCAATAAAAATGTTCCTGAGACAAGAGAAATAATTTAGTTGATTTCGACGATAAAAGTAAGGCTATAGGCTTTGCAAAATATCCAATTTTTCGTGAAAAATTTTATGCTGAAAATGTTGGTAGAATGACCCTTCTTGTCTCTAATCGCATTAGAATGGTCTTCATGAACTGGTAATGTACAATGGATCACTTTGAGTCACACTGAAGAATAGAGAACCTTGCTCAACTTTCGCCGCTTAAAAACGAGTACTAAATTGATGGGATGTCATTTACGAATTAATTAATATGTGGAGTTAATCACGGACATGACTTGTAGTTGATAAACTCAGGGATTTAATCACATAATTTTACAAAAAACTGTATTGAGAGGAAGCGATGATACCTGAAAGTGTGCCGCCATCTCTACATCTTTCTCGTGCTTCGGGTCACGTTTTGATTACTTTTTGGGGATCATCTCAGAATCCCAAATAATGTCAGATATATGCAACGATGATGCGAAAAACTTGCGGCTTTGAATAGAAATTTCCTTAAGAGCCCAAAATAAAGCCTCGAGTAGGCATTCTGCTACATCTAACTCAATCCAAGATTGTTTGGATATATTCAGTAACAAAGAGGTTATCATGGAAAAGCAACGAATTGGAATCAAAGAGAAAAAGACTTTCGCAGCCATGACGTCATGCAAAGCAAAATTACCCTGTAGGTTTAAGACACGGCACATTTTAATGAAGAACGTAAAATAAATGTAAATACTCTATTGATACGCATGGAAAAAGGCAAACAGACAAATGTTGGTACATCCTATTCTTTCAAAGAAAAGAAAACATTTAAAGCCCATTTTTTCCATGAGTATTCTTCATTGCTTCTATGAACAAAGTTTTGCATAAATACTATCTTGCAAAATTTACAGTGTTTATTAAGTTAAGCTTGCTATAACGAACGAAGGATTAAAATTTTTCATAATCGTAACATCTAATTTGGCATCTCGAAAAAACATTAAGAATATTCCGGGCACTGTTTAAATACTCCAACCATCAAGAGTTTTAAAAGAACATATACTACCAAACTAATTGCCAGTTTTCTTGCATGGCCTTTCATGAGTCAATTTTATGCTTCACAACTAACGTCCACATTCTTTAAACAGACTAAAACTTGAAGGCATACTAAACAGCGAAAGTCAAACTGCGAACACAAACACAGCCCTTTATTGGCTATTAAAAGGCCTAAGAAGGCGAAGCTTCTTAAAAACAATCTTTGCCAGGATAATAATTCGACTAATTGATGTGGCTTTTTGTTTCCCCGATCATGACAATGAAACACACCCTTTTAGCTACAACTTATAGAAGCACAAATGGTACACAATAACGGATCTTGAGCTTAAAAGCACGTCTGAGGGACTCCATGTCTAGTCGTTCAGTTCATATGGTAATAGAGACAGAATTCAGAGCTTCAGGTTTCTTGCTAAGGCAGTTTCAAATGGGTTATAACCAAATACACAATACCAGTGCTAAGGCTGGTTTCCGTGTAAAAAATAATAGCGAAGAGGGTGCCTGCAATAGTTTTACATAAATTCACTGTTGAGTTTTGAAAGCTATGACTTTATCTGATTGCATTGTCCCATAGGTCCAATAGTTCCTTACCTGTCCTTAAATGGCACAAAACCTAAAACCCTTTTTTGAACAGCTGCAATCATGGAAATCTCAGTTAGCAACAAGTGGTTATCCGTTACAATAAAATGGTAAGCGATTTGAGGCATCGACATCGCTGTCGTTCTCATGGGTATTCGAGTTACGTAGAAACCAGCCTTCAAAAAGCATCAATTTCGATAACTGCTTATATCCCATTGTTTACAATATTAGCTTTGAGATCAACAAACGGCTTAAAAGGGAAAAATGACTGGCTGGCTTCCCCTACGTTCTGTAATGCGGTTGTAACTTGGAATCAAATATTTCGATTAGTTCCTGCCCTTTTCCTCGGTATACATCCCTACTTCGTGTTTACAAACTATTTGAAACTAGATACCAACTTAAAACGTAAAAGAAAAGTTAATGCCATTGATTAGCTGGTTCCATGCAAGCAACCCAACACCAAACAAAATCATACTACTACTGGGAAAGTTATTCGTTCACAAAACTGCACAGTAAATTTTCTAATTCTGTTTTTAAAACAATTACTTAAATCGACTTCATTAACAAGGTCCTAGCTTGCAAACAAGGGTTGTTGATTTGCTGATGAATTGCATAATAAGCATCTGATAAATGTAGTTTTACACTCAAATGGGGGTGACATGTACAGATTAGGGCTATCTTGGTTTAATTCTGAACTCGGAATTGTATCTAAGGGTGTTTGAGAAATTGGAATCTACAGTTTGTCGTGGTTAAAAATGAACTTGTTAGGCTGACAACGCACCAAAATGAAAATAACACTGAAGAATAGTAGTATCTCTCCTTCAGATGGCTTTAAAGCAACGAGCCTCGAAATAATCGTCCCACGGTCGAAAAGTCGGTTTTACCTTCATCACATAAAGAGAATCAAGTAACTCCCTTGTTCAAAACATACAGAAAGTCATTTAGAAATCCGCGAACTCCTTGCCACACTTCTCTGTGCTGGAAATTCTCAGCGCTTCTTCTTCATAGTCGTCGAAGTTGCTTGGGTCACCTGGACCACGACATTTGGGGATGAATGGAGCTTCAACCTTTTGAAGAAAAATAAGACTTCAGGCTAGGCTGCAAATTAGACATTAACAGACATACAAAACAAGACCAATTTTTCTAAAGTACACTTCAAAAGACAAAAGAATGCTTTGAGGACAAAATTCTAATATTATAGAACCGGCTGTCACCCATAGCCTAGAAAAACGAAAAATCGACATCATAGCCAATGGTATGACAAGGTGCACCGGCAAGAAAACTCGCACTTAAAACACAAACCTTAACATAATCAAAGGTGCGAGGGTTGCTCAATGGTTGTGTACACTGACTACGAATCCCTGACTGGACCAAACCTATCTGAGTGAGGATATGACACTGCTCGATACTACTTGATAAATATAGCTCTCTAGTGTCTTAAAACTACCTTCGTAGCAAACTATACAATACATCAACAAAAATAATATCTAAGGTCACTGACAGATGGTACTACAGCTTACTTCTAATGATGTAATCTAGTTGTTCTTGACCTCCAGTTGGAGTTCTACATTGTACATTTGACCAATTCATTCAAATAGACGTGTAAAAATCATTTTCATTCAGACATGCCAAAACACAGCTCACCTTTCTTTGGTAAATCTGAATCCAGTCAGTGGACGAGAACCATCTGTGGTTCTTGATATCGGCCACGGCATTTTTCAGGTTACCATATCTCTTCGTTAAGTCAACTTGGAGAAGATTTTTCAGCAAATCTTTAAGGTCTTGAGTGAAATGTGATGGACAGCGCATCTGAAACAGGAAGAAAACGTATATTACTTCATGAGTAATACATACAATTCCTTTAAGCACCCAGACGATTTTGATTCTGTAGACCTGAAAGCAGCTAAGTGCTTTCAATCAATTGGATGTAACCTAACATCATGACTATTATTGGCTAGTATTGTAGCAAAAGGCAGACCGTATGCTTGAATAATTTTCATCATGAAACTCAATCAACACAGTATTGGCACTAATGGGTTACCACAGATCAGATCTTGACTCTAGAGAGACTGTTTCTAAATTCTGTTAAAGAATCTAGTTAAGGTATATATCTGCAATGCTAAATTTTAGTTATTGTGAAAAGGAAAAAATTAAAACATAAATAAATGAGCAAGAAGCTATATAAATCAAAATTACACATTTCTTTTTTTTGTAATTGTTGTTTTACATACCAAAAAAATTTAAAAACAAGTAGCTTTTTGACCCAGTGTCATTTAAAAAAGAAGAGAAGACGGAGCCTGTTCTATTTTGCTCCAAAATGGAACCAGTGCCACAAGAAATATTCTATAGGTCTTGTTTATAGAACAGGTGAAATTTCACTGTATTCTACAATTACGAAGATTAGGTAAAACCTGAAAAGAATACATGAAAGAAATGGTAGCATCAATCTTCTCACCTTTCCAGAAACAATTTTCTCATAGATCTGGATAGGTTGGTCGGCAAAAAATGGTGGGTAACCAGCTGCCATTTCATAGATTAAAACACCCAATGCCCACCAATCAACTGCTTTGTTGTACCCCTATAAAGACATAATGATAAATTTACTTTTCCTTTACAGAAATCAAATGCGAGGTCAAAATGGTCTACACATTTACGCTAGAGAACAAGGTTGTAAATCCTCAACCTCTCCAAAACTTTACCAATAAACGTTGTACATTCTCTTGAAAGTTTTGCATTTGAGAACATGTTGCTAGTGATCCTTACTTTGAAATTTGTAATGTCTTGCACTTTTTAAACTACAAAGCACTAGCACATAATGTTACATCCTCAAGTTTTAATCCACATAAGGTATTCCACAGCAAAAGCCCTACTTATGTTAAGTATACTGCACTTATCTTTTCAATGAAAGGGACTGCATGAAATTGGAAATTCATACCTTACTAAGGATAATCTCTGGGGCTAGGTACTCTGGCGTTCCACAAAGTGTCCATGTCCTGCCCTTCACACGCTTTGCAAAGCCAAAATCTGTAACCTGGACAAAGAAAGAAAGAAGTAAACTAAAAACTAAGTTTACATCTTCCAGCAAGATTTTTTAACATCGGATACCCAAAAAGCATTTAAAGAGAAGGTATTGCCACAATCTAGAAAAAACAGCTACATGGTGAAAAACTAAGTTGATTAAAATATCAAACAAAATCATTTCATTTCTAAGTCTCAATTTTAACTCAGTACCAGATTTTATTTTGTCACAAACCCCAGGACCTTCAATAGCAGCACTGCAGGAACAAGTGTGCTGCAGCACCTGTCAACTACAATCCTTGCCAAAAATAGTTGGAACACCACAACATTCAAGTCCAAAAGTTGACACCCAGTGGCGGACACTTGGGGGGCGAGGGGGGGGCGACCGCCCCCCAATACTTTAGAGAACAATGGTCTTTTGTTCTAAAACAATGGGAAATGTGACGTCATCTTATTAAAACAATAGGCTTGCTCCCCCAATATTTGACCAAGTGTCTGCCACTGTTGACACCCCAGGATTAAATTAACTTTTCAAAGACATCAATACTCTTACTATATTTGCCCAACCCTCCTTGCAATGTTGATTCCAATGCTAGTTAGATTGTCACTGACCATCACGCTATATATATCAAGCAACATTGTAATAAGGGGGAGGGGAGGCACACAACATTTGAAAACCATGAAGATCTTTCGTCTAGGTGTTCCAACAACTTTTTAGCTGTCAATGCATATATTTTAGCTGTTTGCAAGTGCTTGGTGTCCTCTGTGCTTGGCATCCTCTGTGTGATCTATGATATAGGTACCCTTAATGAACTTGTAACACAGCTTTTTTCAGCCAATATTGGTGAATATTCAGGATTGATTCTGTACAGAGGAAAACTTAGAATGAATATTAAAGAAATATGAAAAAGAAAAGATGGTCACAATACCTTCAAATATCCTTTCTCGTCAATTAGTAAATTCTCAGGCTTTAAATCTCTACAATTAGGAACAAAATATGAAATCAAGGACTGAAGGATACAATTTTCATCTATATTTTCCAAACTTTCTAGCTGTTAATGCATATATTTTCGAAAGAGCGCATGCGAATGCTCTCATGTGCTTGTTACAAGACGCTTAAAAGCAGCAAGTGACATAGCCTACATCATTAGGAAACTAAGCATGTATCCAGACAGTTCCCAAAGAGATGTATTGAGGAAAGCAGCCAAATTGCTTCAAATATGAAAAATCAAAACATCTAATAAGTATATATTTTGAAATCATCATGGATGCTTATCACATGTACAAAAAATGTGTACAAAAACAGGTAAATAGATATTGTCATTGAAGCTTACCTGTAAATAATATCTAAAGAGTGAAGATACTCAAAAGCCAGAACAATTTGTGCAGCATAAAACCTGGAATGCGGCTCACTAAAAAGAAATTGAGCAAACATCAAATATAAACTCACAAACTAATGTTTAATTACAGAAGTAGTATTTATGATAATAAGCTTATAATTTGCCTAGAAAGCAAACAGAAAATAACTTCACTGTTCAGGTTCCTTAGGTAACTTGTTGTGACCTTACATAAGGCAATAAATAAATGGAGCATAGTTTCAGCTTGCAATTGCCAAAACCCAAATACATGGATGGACATTGTTTATTAGTTAAATATATATATTGAATTTTGATGAAAATGATCAACATCAAACCTGAAACGTCCAATACGTCTAAGATGAGAGAACATTTCACCACCAGGAACAAATTCTAAAAGCATATACAAGTTGGAGTTGTCCTGGAAAAATAAACGCAAAAATAGAAGTAGATATTCAGTGCTTATTTGAAAACAAGAGGGGACCCATGATAAAAAGGGAAAACTAGCACAGGCCAGGAGGGTATGATAGGAGGGTGTGATATAAGAATATTGGCTGCAGGTGTTTTTCCAAAGCTCTTCTCCACATTCTAAAAAAATGATTATTCATGGAGCCTCTAAAATGCTTAAATGGCTTAAAATAGCATCAGGTCACTTCTGTCAGCTTTACATAAATTACACAAAACATAATTTGCAAGGTTTTGGTTACTAACTGGAAAACTGTCATTAACTCCATATTTCATTAATTTAGGCATTGCTTTGTTTAGACTCCTAGCTAAACAAAAAATTCAAATGACAGTATTGTCATAAAAAGGATTTTATCTCAGATATAAATTTTTAAAACTAAGAGTGTTAGCCAGTTGTACCTTGAAATGCCATTCCAGTTTAACGAGGAATGGAAACTCTATGGCTTGCAGAATCTTCTTCTCATTAAGCGTGTGCTCCACTTGCTTGAGTTTCACTACCTATACAATAACAAACATAATTAAATAGCAAATGCAGCTTGACAACTTTTGAGACAATACTACAAAATACTACAAAAGCATAAAGTCAATTAGAAACTGGCGACTTTTATCTAGATTGAGATCTTGGTTTATATAGTTCTGACATTGCGAAAAAGGCTAAATAAATCTCCTTATTTAAATTGAGCATACACCCATTTTTTTTTCATTTAACTGAAGTGTCCATATATAGAGCTAAACAGTAACATAGAACAAAATGTAAAAAAATGTCAAAAACACAACCATAATCCAAGTGGAGTGGCTTGTATCTCATGCACAATTAGGGCAGTGATTCAGACCTCATCTTGGCTCACCATAATTATTGAACATACAGGCATGAAGTTATATAAAAGACTTCTATTGATGCAGAAATAACTTTTATTTTTTATTTAAGTTCTATTATTTCGGTTCAATATATTTATGTGAATAATTATGGCAAAAGTAAAAAAGCCAATACTTGGGTAGATGATAGTTCTTATTCTGCAAAATAAATTATTTGAAGAACAAAATATTAGTTTGAAGGCAGATTGTTCTCTTTAAATTTTTACTCTTTGTCAGGATAAATGTAATGGCACAATAATGCAAAAATCGCACCTTCTGCTTATCTAAGATCTTCATGGCATGATAGCTTCCATGCTCCTTATGCCGGACCAACATCACACGTCCAAATGAGCCTGTTCCAAGGGTCTTCTTTCTTTCAAATTGGTCCAATGATGCTGTGTTCTGTAAGATTCATTTTTTTGCTTATTGTAACTTAAAACAAATAGTTGGGTGCAATTCAGCAAATTACTGACAAATGTGCATGACGTTTTCTCAGAGTTTGGGAACTATGAAACTTGAGCGGAATCAAGTGTTGGATGGCAGCCCATAGTTCACAAAGTTTCTACTTAATATAAAAGGAGCTAGGCTAGAAGGAAGAAAGCTAAAGTGATTAGGTTTGCATAAAAGGATTTTAAGAACATAAATATAATATCAATAGCTTACTGTGCCATCCTTTAATTTTGGAACAGTTTCAGAATTAATTTTGGATAAGATTCATATGCCCTCTTGCGGAACCAAACTTCATCAACATTTAGAATAAACAATTTACTTTCCATCTTTTAAGTTATCAAAGAAATAACTTTATTCATTAAAGCATCAAGATTTAATTAAACTTTGAACAGAATTTTTGTTAGACGTAGAATGGAATGTTTGCTGTTTACACTTACAAAGCAAGAATAAGCAATATCAAACATAGAATATTTAGAAAAATGTAACAGGAAAGTTAAAAACATTGATTCAAAATTTTGACCAATTGGTCCTGATGCTATTTTGATATGGTACTACAATGTTGGAAAATAGAACAAAAAAGCAGTTAGATCATAATGAAGTACTTCTCATAAGACACTCTTCAGAGTACTATAATTTGACAATGACCAAAAGCATAAGAGGAAATCTATATCCAGATATGGGTCAAAAGATACCCAAGAGGAAAAATGGCATGCTTGTTTGGTTCCTTATTTCTGACCAATTACAAACCACCAAAACCCTTTGTATAGTAGAAGATTTCAAGGGGGGACATGAGCTTTTCCACCTATACAAGTTTATATCTTTTGCTTTGACATTATAGTTAGGCTCAAAAACAGCTAATTGGAAGTACCATTTTACTTTGGTAATGATTTTGGAATTTTCCCACTTTTTAGAAAAACTATAGAAAAACTGCATTGTCTCATTACAAAATCTCCAATGTATATAATTGTCTGTTTTGATTGGTTTTAGAGTAGAAATAGGTCATCAAAACTTCAAGTGTGTTGTAAAATTCCTTGCAATATATTTTTTTATGAAATACATAAATTTTGTGAGAAAATATATTTTAAAAACCATTTGTTGACAAACTGAGTCAAAATTAATAGGATTTAGAAAATAATATATTAGGGTTGAGAAATAAAGATAATTTTGAAAATATGAAAAAAATCAAAACATCCTCACAAATTTTCAATATGTTAGATTAGGATGCTATAACTATAAATATATTATTAAGAAATGTTTTGGATATTATTAAAAAATGTTTTGGAAAACTAATAAAAATGCTTACTAGACAAAAAAATTAACTACAACAAATTCCATAATTTTTAGAATTTGGCAAGTTATTTATTTGAAACTGAGGAAAATTCAGTCTATCAAGGATTTTGGATAAAAATAAGCAGGTAACGAAATAAGTTCAGTTTTAAAATGATATTTTATAAACGTAAGTTCAAATTGTAGAGACTACTTTGATATGTAAAACCAACAAACTACACCTGCAACATCTAAAGAATGCTAATAAAATCATATTGAATGAAGCTGAATACTCTTAAACATGTTTCTGTTTAGTGATGCTGAGAAAAAAGGTACTGTTTAAATCTGTGGCAGGAAGTTTATGTTGCAAGGAAGCTATTCAACCAAACAATTCAAATCTATTTATGGTGCAGTTAGTGGCATTCATTGATTTGAACTTTATGGAGAAAAATCAGAGGCTGTTGCTTTTTGACACATTTACAGAAATAGCAAATATTTTCCTGCTTGAACTGGTACAAATATACCACAAAACCAAAATGTACACACAACTACATACATCAAAAGGACAGTTGTTCTATATTTAGAAACAATGGCCCAGTTTGTTTACATTACCTGTTAATTTTAAACAAACACAACAAGAAAAATTAATTATACTTTGCTTTAGATAAATCACAATAAATTAAGCTGGCATAATTTTGCCTTGCTTGAAACATGGTGGGCTTCAAGATATGGTTGAAATTCATTTGTACCCATAAGATGACTAAAAAACTGAATCTTACTGCTTTTTAAGTAATTGAGTATTGATATACAAACATAAAATAGAGATTTCCAGAAGGGGCATCAAAAACTAGAAATTTTGAAACAGTCTTGCGGAGAGTTTAAAATGGACACAACAGGTAAAAAACAATTCTTTGCACCAGTCCTTGAGATACATATGGAGGTCTGTAAAAATTTTTGTTCCAGTTAGAAATTGAAGATCCCAAAACATTTTTTCTACAACTCATTAGCAAAAAGCAATTCACTATGGATAAAAAATTTCACTTTTTATTTTTTGAACTACCAAATAATTACCTGAAGTTTACAGAAACAGCATGTGCGAGAGATACAAGGTTCTTAAACAAACTGCTATAAGGGTGGGGAAAATATGTACAGCCAATTCTTGTCAAAGTTTTAATACAATTCAACAAAATGTTGCCTTTCATAACAAGCAATGCAAAAAACCTTCAGGCAAGTTTTAATATTTACCAAAATACTATCATCAACAATCGAAATAATAAAGAAAAAGTCCCAAAAGAACTAAAAGCCTTCAAATGAGACAGCTATATCCGTGGGCCTATTTCCATGAAGACATTAATCTAACTGCTGCTTTAATTAACCCCGTCCTGTCTATTATTTCGTTTTGAAAAAAGTAAGAAACTATTCTCTAAATTAAGGTACAGACTCAGTTAGAAGGTCTTACTAAACTGGTGTTTTCCGAATGAGCTGAAGTTATATTTTGCAAGTAAAGGACACAAAAAGCATTTAACTTTATTGTATATCCTACGATTTAAGCAGGGACTGTGGTTTCAACCTTGCAGATGGAATTGCACAGAACAAAAACTAGCAAATAACAAGTTAAACACCGCAAATCTTTTCTAAAAATAAAGGCGATATCAATCAACTCCAAATGTTTACCACTCGCTGGGGATGCTGTCAACCTTGGACTTTCGGAAAATGGCATCTTCATTCTGAAACACCACAACTTGTGGTCTGAGAAATTTCAAACTCAAAGTATATTGACTTACGTGAGAAGGATTCTCCCATTTTCGCTTGAAGTCTTCTTGGGCTTGAGACAGGAAGGCTTTCACTGCGTAAAATGAAACGAAATTATTAGATTTATGTTTTTAAAGCAAAGTTTAAATGCCAATTTAAACATGTTGAGAGGATGGTTAGGCCACTTCTTGCCTCCGTCTTCCAAAACCCACCTGCATTTTCTGAATCACCTTTCTTTGCTGTGGCTGCGTTACCCATGCTTGCCTTCTACGGAAGATGGGAGCTGAGCTGATGCTAGCTTTCGTAATTTCAACTCGTCCTAATTTGCAAATTTTACAGCTTTATTTGAGCATAAAACTTCAAGCATATCAGAACTTATATTTTTGACTAGTCCTAGCAACTAATTTAAAAGTATTTTCGCGCGATGTCGACCTGCAGCATTTAAGTAGCGTCTCCAAGTAGCAAAATCAGCCTATCTCATTGGCTGGCCATCAGAAACTTCGATCAGTTATTGGTTGATTACGGTGAAACTATTCCCAAGAAGTGCAGTCAATTCAGCGAGTGAAAATCCCGACGGGGGAACACTAAGCATGAAAATATATCGATGATATGAGATCGCTCAGTTGTGCAGTAATTTTTTTTTGGAGGACAAACTTTAAAAACAAAAGATTCCGCAGTCTCAAAAATCTTTCTGGGCCTAAGTGATTTTATGAAACGCTTGGAGATTAACACAAACTCAATCCGAGTAAATAGAATAAGTAAACCGAAATATTGACAACAGGTGGTTCTTTGTAGACTCGAAATTGAAGCGTTGCTATAGAAGGCTTTGTACGTCACTGCGCCTCACAGCGCCAAATTTCACAACAACATAAGACCTTGTTGGCTTTCGGCGGGCGTTCACCAGCTAACGGCGATCAGTCATATTCTAGACGACACTGTGGTACTGACAAACGAGTTTCAGTACCAAAATACCGGAAGCTGTCGTTGAAACACCATTTTTACCTGGGCAAAAAATGAACTGGCCTGTTTTTGGTAATATAGAGTTCTTAAGTGATGATGTCACAAAAATCTATTTTTAGAATTTGTGAATTTGGATTAAGCCAGTTAAATGTGTAACAAGTTGGCTGAGATTGTCCACATGGACAGAGGCCCTTTCCCATCAAACCTCTTGAACCAAAATAACAGTAATCAGCTAGAAAACTTCAAATCTTTTATTGGCGATATCTCGCCCGATTTTTTGCGAGTTAGTCAAAATTCAAAAATTCTGAAAACATCTTTGTCACGTTCAAGATAGGAACAAGAACAAAGACAGGAACAAAGCAAAACGACAAGGAGGATCCATTACGATTAAAAACCGATTTTTAAAATAAATTAAATGAAAAACTAATATTTCGCCCACTCTCAGAGTACCTAGAACGTAACAACCTCCTTTCTTGCAGTCAGTTTGGATTTCGACGAGAACGATCAACGCAGCATACAGTAACTCTTTTCACTGAACAAATCCGAAATAACACGAAACAGAGTTACTGCACAGGCGCATTATTTATGGACTTACGCAAAGCTTCCGATACTGTCCATCATGGAACACTGTTTGAAAAGTTAAGATGTTATGGCATACAAAATACAGAAATTGCTTGGTTTGAAGACTATTTATTCAACAGAAAGCAGTTTGTCTGCTACGATCAATCAACATCACAAACTGAGCAAATGACATATGGGGTACCTCAAGGATCAATCCTTGGGCCTCTCCTATTCATCATTTTGATAAATGATGTTCATTTGGTATTGGACAAATGCAAAAATTTTATGTATGCAGATGACACAGTGATATTCTTCTCGGAAAGATCGGTAGAGGCTGTTGAAGAAGTCCTGAATCAAGGGGCAAACTTAGTTGGTAAATGGCTTGCGAACAATAATCTAATACGGAATCTCAAAAAAGGCAAAACTGAACTCGTTATCTACGGTACAAGTCATAAACTAGCGAAACAACCGTCATGTAATGTCTCTCTGAATGGCACTCCGATAAACCAAACTACGAGCTATGAATATCTGGGAATCACCCTTGAAAGTCACCTAACAATGAGTATGCAAATTGACAAGATCTACAAGCGAGCCTCAAGTCGGGTAAAACTCCTGCAAAGAATTCGTTGCAACATCTCTCCATTTGTTGCGGAGAAAAAATATAGCGTTATGATAAGGCCTGTGTTACTCTACTGCTATCCCATTTATCTAAGCGTAGGTGAAAGTGCCAAGAAAAAGCTGCAGTCAATCCAAGAGAGAGCCCATAAGATCATAGCTCCTACTAAGAACACGACCCTGAAGATGGACACATTGGATCAAATCCGTAAAAAACGAGTATCGATCGACGTTGCTCACCACCACTGCGAAACATGTTTCAGCGTTTTAATCATGGCAAGGATACACGAGGAAACGGCTCACGTCTTATATTGCCAAGAGTTAAAACAGAAGCAGGAAGAAAAACGTTTGCCTTTCAAGGAGCACTAATTTTTAACGGATTGTCATCCGACCTTCAGAACGAATCTTTCTTTGTAAACTTTAAACGCAAAATAGATTATCTAAGCTTTGCACGATAATCGTATTGTATTTTAACTTTTAAAATTTTTTACTTTGTCAATAGTTTCTTTAAACAGGACCCTTATTGATAGCAGTACTTTACTTGTACTGAAAAGGCGTATCCTGTATAAACAAGTATTATTATTATTATTATTATTATTATTATTATTATTATTATTATTATTATTATTATTATTATTATTATAATTGCTTGAGACATCGCCATATTGGCCATATTGCTGAAGCACAGGTAGGAATTTTTCCTTCGTCATATCGCATCTAATTTTTAGAATCTCTAACTGATTTTGCAGTTTCAGCATTACTTTATGCTGTTCTTTAAAGTTATGTGGTCAAAATTAAGCAGTTCTAAAAAAGACGTTTGATGTCGTCACACCTTGCTACTCTTTCGGGAAATACAAGATTTATTAATAAATAACAGGGTAGACCAAGACAACTCTTTCTATTATTTTCTGATATATCCTTGGTAGATTCCGTTGGATTCTTGATCACAACTTGAAGGTTCAGAAAGAGATTCTTGCTTTTATTTAAAAGGTGCTTGAAACTTTGTTAACATGTTTACTTGGGTTTGAGCCTGGACCGCACTTCCCCTGGCCCGGGGGCCCACAGACAAATAGGGGCCCCAAGAATTCTTCGGAGGCTTAATACCGTAAGATCTCGGATATAAGCCCTAGGCTTATATCATTTCACAGCCAATTTTTGAGGGCTTATAGCCGGGGGCTTATATCCGGGGGGGGCTTATAACCGGGAGAATTTTTGCATCAAAACTTGTCAGCTTGACCCGGAAAATCATCACAGTGAAAACGCTATTGCAGAAAAAACTAAAGAAGGAGATGGAGTTAGCCATATTCCCGATTTACTGGCTCATGCACTGACTGACTCCAGAGATTAGTTGTGGAAAACTTGTATCTGTTGAAGCAGTCGTTACAAAGGGACCTAGAAATGCTCTAGAAGGTACATGGGTATCAGGAGATTGCATTGAAACTTCTTGCAAGTATCATGTTTATGCAGTTAAGACACTTGAGCGTAAAATTAGAAGAATGCTTAGAAAAGCAACGACGTAATACCGTTGTATGTAACATATGAAACATAAATAGAAACGCGAATAGAAATCCATCTATGTACTGTCTGTCTTGTTTTTTGTCTAAACTGCCTGAAGTTACCACAAGATTCCAACTCGTGATAACAAAAGAAAAAACAAAAGAAAAATAAAAAAAATATATATATATATATATGGGCTTATAACCAGGAGGAAATTTGTGTTGTCAATTTGCTGGGCTTATAACCGGGGGGGGCTTATAACAGAGGGGCTTATAACCGGGGGGTATACCTGGGATTTTACGGCATGATATCATTGGGTAAAATTATCAAATGACTTTGCCAAAAACTTTATACAATATGCAACCTCTTATATTACCACTTTATGAATGGAATTAAAAGAGCATATTTTTGGCAATAACACCCTCCCAGATCAATATAAACAAACAATTGTTTTTTATACGGCTTCAAGCACTAAAGAAACACTTTGTCATGAAAAAACATCGGAAATGTGGACATTATTCGAGACCTGTTTAATATTATTAGGAAAATAACCAATATTTTATAGGACTGGTCTGGAGCTCATTGTGAATTTCAGTTGGCGATTCTTCCATTAAAATGTAAAGAATTTTGACACATGATACAATTTTACCAGAGAAGGCTCTTGATTTTGATTTAGTACCAACAAGAAATCTCGAAACCATTTGCTTCTGTAGAAAATGCCATCCAAGTGAGGGTGCCAGGACAGAAAAGGCGCTGATATCAAAAGAGTGTCACTGACAGGGACGGGTTTAGCGGGGGGTGTAGGGGGTGCGACACCCCCCCCCCAAATATTTCTGTGTCCTTCGGTAAATTTGGTTCCATTCGGTAAAAATAATTTTTTGATAGTCAGTAGTAACAAAGTAACGCCAAGATTTTTATTTATTTATCTTCTTTTCTGGGTTGGTAGATTCGGGCAAATTTGGCCAAACTGATATCAATACAATAGAACAATAGAAGACTGAGAATAGAACAATAGACAGATGGTGCAGGGCCCACGCCAACTGGGAGCGGCCGCTCAGAAAGTCGATGTCTGAGAAAAGTGCAAATCTCCAATAGAATTAGTACCTTTAGGGGGATTACTTTATATTTCAGACAAAACTAAAGCGTTTTAAAAGACTGCAAGCAAATGATTGTAAGAAACATTCTAAAATGTATCTTAAGCTTATCTCAAGGGCGTCGTCGTAAAAATTGTCTGCTCGCTTCGCTCGCAGGGGACCCTCTTCTGGACCTCTAAAGAATGTTTAACAATTTATTCCACGTTTTAAGGTTTATATAGAAAAGTCCTTCACGCTCTTTAGACAATCCCGATAAAATAAATAGGAGCTAAAAAGCTAAAGACTGGATTCTGAAATGCTTGTCAGGGAAAGCAGAACGGACTTAGTTTGCAATTTTTGAACACTGTTTATCATTTTTAAATATTTGATTAGAACTTTAGAAAATCAGTTTTTACACGTAGAGCTTCCGCCCCCTACACAATTCAGAATATAAACGTTAGAGGAATTGTGAAGTAAATAGACAGTTGTAGAATGGGGTCAGCCACAAAAAGCTACATATAACGTTGTATAAAGGGGAATTGCCAGGTAAAAAGCCATAGCTTTTCCAAACGCATTTACAAAATGGGGTGTTTTCCCAAATTCTTTAGAGTCTGATCAGCAAAGATTTACTTCTCTTTGCCCCTCCAATCTTCCAACCCTGGCTACGCCACTACTTCTTATCCTTTTTACCTTAAAATTAAAAGCCGAATTTAAAAAATGGGCGTTTCCATCATT